AAAAAAAAAAACAATTTCCTTTTTATTTTCCATCTAAAATAATTTAACTTAATTTTCTATTTTATGCCGTTTTAAATGTATTCCCTAAAGTTAACATTCGTTCATATATTAGAATATGTGACGTAGTTTCATATTGTTATTAAAGTTAAGAATAAATCCACTATTTTTATTCATTATTTTAAAATGTACTTGTAGGTATTTTGAATAATGTTAAGTTATCTATAAAAAAATAATAGCTGTCCATTTTTTTTGGCTTATTTATATTGGAAGTAGTAGTGAAGTAGTATAATTAACAAATGATAATTTTGAAATTAAGTGCTTTTATTTATTATAATAGCTTGTAATATAAAACAATTTTGTATATTAAGAAAAGGTATAGACATATTATAAATACTATATGTGTTTTATTATTGTAATAAGAAACCATGGAACCTGTAACATATCTCTATTATAATCATTGGATGCGTAATAATGAATAATATAATGTATACTTTTTGAGGGATATATATTTCTTCTAACATATATATACGTTAAAAAAAATAATATACATCTCTATTATGTTTTAAATTTATTTAACAAAATTTTAATTTCGGATGTTTAGGATCATTTATGTTATTAAATTTTAGCATTCTTTTGTTAAACTCAGTTTATATATATTTAAATATAATATTAAAAAGCTGTATTATCCTTTAATATGTATATTACACGAATATTCTGGTCTATAAATAACTTGGTTTAATTATTTATTCCAGTATTTTTCATCAACTCAGTGACCCTTACTATATATTTTTTTGTAACGTACAAGTAATTTGAGCTGTAAATTACATTCATGCAGTGGAATACATGTTCGCAGATATTCAGTAATATTTTTCATTGAACGTTTTTTAAATTATTATTCATGAATATTCTTTTAATTCACTTGTTTCGTTTTGTTTATATGACAATGACACCGTAACTGATATTTACATTTATAGAAAAAATACTATGATTAATATATAAAATGAAAATATTTTATAATTATTTTAGTAGCACAAATGATGTAATATCCTATGATGCACATATTTTGTAGTTATATATTACTTTATAAAAAAACTTTTCGTAATGACTTCTTCCGAAAGCGAAAAAGATGCTTATATAACACTAATAATACGTATTTTTTGTACTCATCGAAGAATAAATTTATAATGAAATAAGAATTGTTAAAATTCATGATATTCATAATTATTTTCTTGCTATTGGTATATTATTAGAATATTACCCTATTTTATAATTTATATGAGCTTATTTATTTGTGTACTCACATAATATATTACATTTATTATGGGAAAAATATTTTATTATTTAATCAATATTGGTCTTATTATGAAATATATAATTTTTGTGTCCTGTTGCACTATACAATATGGTGAGGTGTAGTTAACTCCTAAGTGTTACACTATAAATATTCTCATGAAATTTATTCTTATATTTATGTACTTTCGTGCTATTAATCATTTTATAAAGTTCTCATCATAAATCATGAGTAATATTATATATATGTGCATAATTATTTTTATTACAACAAAAATATATGAATAGCTATGGTAGGTACATTTATTTGTTTATTTTTTTTTTATATTACACAATAATATGTTGATATTTTATCCAATTAATTGGTTGTAAAATAACAATTCGTTCAATAACAGTATCTATTGTGTAATTTAAATATATGCAGAAAATATGAGTACAAATATTTTCATATTAAGTATTGTTGTCTAAGATTCATGATAGTATCATTATATAATTTTTCATGAACTCTTTATATTTTTTGTGCATTTGTATTTTTAAAATAACCCCAAATTATACCAACCTTAATACAATTTTATATTCTATTGTTAAATTCCTCTAATGTATGCTAAAATTTATATTTAACGAGAATATTAAAAAAGAAAATATAATTATATACATTTTTTATGTAGTCTTTTTTATTTATAATTATGTAAGAATAAAAAAATATATATATTGTAATAAATTTTGATAGACGACGTATATATTTAAAAAAGGAATAAATCGAATTTTTTGAAGTTACATTCATGATAAAAGTATATTGATTTTGATAAAGAAAAAAATTATATATATGTATTTATTCTTATAATATATATAAAGTAGTAAACTAATGTTATTTTTTTATATATTTTTTTCATTAAAATTATAGTTTAAGAATATTAATTAAAAATAAAATTAGTTTTTGTTACATATTTGATGATATAATGTTTTGTTATATGCATGATTTATATGAATACCTTTTATTATTAGTAAATAAACAAATAATGGTTCTATTTGTTATTCAAATGGGTAATTAAATAAAAGAAATTTTAGATGTTTTTCTCAAAAATTTTTTAGAGAAAAAAGTTAGTGAAAAATAAAATGGAAATAAGTAAAAAGGAAGATTCCATTAAGAAAAATTTACTTGGCTATTTTCTATATATAATGC